CTGTTCACTTTTGCTGAAATCACTCTCCGGATCTTTGTTAGCGGCGATCTAACAGTGTAAATCAGTATAACTTTAGTATCCCCAACTAAAACATCTAAGGGCTACATTAAGGACCTTAAAAGTACAACAGATTCTGATAATAATTGTTTTAGATAAAATCCCCTTCAGTTAAATAACTGACCACTGGGAACCAAACCTTTTGAAATGTTGATTGTCGGGATTCCAAAGTTATTGCAGCGTTTTGTGAGATTTTCCCTAGGAGGAAATGCTCCCAGAGTTTATTTTGCCAGTTTACCAAAGAGGGAGCTGTTTTGTCCTGCCATTGTTGTGCTATCGTGATTCGAGCTATGGGGATTAAAGCAGTGATTAATAATGTTTTGGTTTCATTTCCAGCAGCATCAGACCAGGTGCTGAGCAAAAGGACTTCCAGGAGATCAGGGAAGTTGACCCCCGTTATAATTTCACTTTGTGCAATAATGTGGTTCCAGAATTGATGTATGTTTGGACACTGCCACCAGCAATGCAAAAGGTCTCCCACATGACCACAGTTCTTCCAGCAGTATTTGCTACTTTCAGGTTTTATTCTGTGTAGACGGGCAGGAGTCACATACCAGCGAGTCATAACTTTAAAGGTGTTCAACCTAATAGAAAAGATTTTCGAAGAGTTATTTGGTGAATCCCAGAGGTTGTCCCAGTCTTTCATCTGAATACGATTTCCACATTCCACCTGCCATGTCGATGTATTTTTGTTTAGGTTCCTGCTCTTCTTAACCCCACCTGTAAATCACGGTTACATCATCTCTACAGCGTTGCAAGCAGAGATGCATTTCAAGGTCATCCCAGAAGGGAGGCTGTCTTAGGAAAGTTACTCTCGCCACTACAATAGAGCTGTTCACAGGCACACACACACACACCCTCTGGTCGGAATTTCCCTCCCCACTTCTTTCCCCAGAATTTATGGCAAACTAGAGATGGAGTTTGACACCCTACCTGGTGGAACGTGCTCCCACTTGAGATCAGAGCCCTGCGAGAATCTATTACAGTTCTGCAGAGCCTGTAAAATGGAGCTGGTCCCAGCAGGCTTTCAGTTGAAGCGGTGGACACCCAGTTAGTTGCCCTCCCTATACAGAGCCTAGAGACTGCCTTATATAAAGGTGATCGGAACCATCTACCCTATGTAAGGTTCGGGGTTATGTGGATGGGATCCCAGTATTATCTAATCGGTTTTTATTGGGGGGGGGGTCTGAATTATTGCTCACCATCTTTAACCATTTGGTTTTTGGGCTTTAATATTTTTAATGTTGTCATGATCTGGGCTGTGCCACCGGAGGCCTACTAGGCCCAGGGAGCCTGGCTAGCAGTAGGTGAGGCTGGGCCTACAACTCCCAGAAACCCCTGAGAGGTTTGGGAGCCAAAATTGTCCAATAGGAAAAGAGGAGGGCTTGGAATAAAAGACCTGGAACAGCAGGAAAAGCTGTTCTTCTTCCCAGAGGGCAGAGCCAGAAGGAAGGCTGCTGCATGGAAGAAACCCTCATCCTGAGGGAAGGGTGAGTTGTCTAAGGCCACTGCAGATAGTGAGCTAGGGACAGTATATATTTAGACGAGTTAGGGCATTTGATTTCTTTTCTTTTCACCCACTTACTGTTATTATTCTGCACCTTGTTTGATCTCTTATAAAATAAACTATTTTCATGCCTGGTCCTCACACCTATTATTCAGCCAAAATGGAGGTCTAAAGGTCTAGGGAGGGTGCTCTGGGCCTTCTCAGGGGAACTTGGAACCAGAGTGGTGGCAGCGTCAGGTGACACCGCACCTGAGCTGTGACAAATGTTCTTAGAGTATTTGTGTCAACTTTTATTGTTATATTGTTATGTTTTGATGTTACCCACCCTGAGCCCATTTGGGGAGGGCAGGATATAAATTTTAAAAATAAATAAATACTCTAACTGCTACACCGCACACACTTCTTATTTATGATGAGAGATGTACAGGGTCCCAACAAGAATGACCTTGTGTGTGGAAGTTTATGGGTACAAACAGGGAAACGAGACGCCCAGGAGAAGGTTCCTTTTTAAAAAAATCCGTTTATTTGTCTTACATACGATAAATAATCTTTCTTTTTTTTCCAAAAATAACTTTCCATTCAAGTTTTCAATCCGTTTCACTTCATATGGCAATTAAAAAAAACAGCCAGCCAACCTTCCGACGGCTCCTCCTCCTCCCCGGAAAGGGATGTACAAAAATAGTTCTTTGACAGAAGAAAAGAAAATTAAAAATACAATTATTTTTTGAAATGCAACATCGGCTGTATTGAAATCTCTATGGCCTGGAATGTCCAGAGTAATAAGCGGTAAGGCACATCGGGGTGGGGAAAGAACGAGGTAAGGAGGAAGAACGCAAAAAGCAGAACTGTGACTAAGGAGCCAAGTCCAAGGTCTTTTTTTGCCCCCCCCCCACCTGCTGCGTCATCAGCTGGGCCAAAGTCAAAGCTCTGTAGCATTGACTGGGGGGGGGGCTAGACTCGGCCAAGGTTGGCAGCATGGCAGGCCCAGGAAATGAAACCCGTCACCTGCCGTACTGCTGACGGCTGAGAGCCATGAAGCCGCTGCAGGCAATCACTACCCTCCTCACTCTGGTGCCCCAGGCAGATGCCCTGATGGCCCAGCCTGAGTACCGGCCCCGGGTCTTAGAGGCGATTTTGCAAGCCCGGCTGCTGGCTTCTTCTCTCCGCCAGAGCCCTGATGCCTTTCAAGGCAGAGTGACGGGCAGGAACCAAACGGGCAATGCTCTCCCCCTCGTGGCATGCTGGGAAAGGCCCCGCCGGTTGGATTTCGGCCTGCCCAAAGATTTTGGCCTGCCCGTCTGGATTTAAAAAAAAAGAAGGCGCAAATGTCCCGTGCAAATGTTTTCATGGCTCTATCTCCAAAACTTTCAGTTGGCTTTTCACTCTCTGCCTGTCTAAGTGGGAGTAGCCTTTTATCCAAAATTCTGGCAGGGTACCGGGTTCAGTTCTCTGTTGCTCGGCGGAACAATGGAGAGAACCAGCAGGCACAAGAATGCCAGGTGGCAACAGACAGTGACCACTTTGTAAAGCATCTTGGTAAAGCGTTGCGTCCCTTATCCAATGAAAGAGTGGGATGTAATCCCCCGCGCCTTGTGAATAGCTTAACGTAAAATAGCCACCCCTTCCCCCCCATTTTACAGATTGAGAATACTGAGGAAGCAGAGCAGGGAATGTTTCCCCCACCAATGGCAGGAATCAATTTTGGCAGAAGAGAATGCCCCTAGCCAGTGTTCCCTCTAAGCTGAGTTAGTGTGAGCTAGCTCACAGTTTTTTAGCCTCCGGCTCGTACGTTTTTGTCTTAGCTCAGGAAAGGAGGGCTCCAGAGCGAACTGATTTTTGCAGTAGCCAAATCGCTCGCTCACAACTTTCATGCCAGTAGCTCACAAAGTAGAATTCTTGCTCACAAGACCCCACAGCTTAGAGGCTATTGTCACACCCCCCCCCCCCCCCCCGGGGCTGCATGCAGGAGATGCTGGAAATGACCTTCCTCTGCTGGAGACCCTGGAGAACAGCTACCAGTCAGAGAAGACAACAGAGAGCTAGGTGGAGCGGAGGCCTGATTTGGTGCAAGGCAACTTCACATCAAGACGGCTCAGCCTGTGGTGTAACTGCACAGAGGAGTCTGCATCAGCACAGAGCCGGAGCAACAGGCTGGAGTGTGGGCTGGATCTTATACCATAACCGGGCTGCTGAGGTTGCCATAAATGTGCATGGTCTGTGCCCCTTGTGGCACCCACCTCAGCGACCCCTCCTCGAATGCAAACTTCGTTCCCTGCTCCAATGAATTAAATAGGGCCCTTGTAGTTACAGCTTGGCCCGTTTTCATTTGCTCACAGTTTGGGGGAACGGCAGGCCCCAAAGGCACGCACAATCTGAGAGCGACGGAGGAAGGCACCAGAACAAAAAGACGCTCTATAATTTTCAGCTGCATCCCTCGGCTCCCGAACTTCCCTTCTTCCCCGGCCTTCAGCTCACCGAAATGAAAAAATTTCAGGAGGCCGAATAACCGGTGATTGAAGAAAGCCAGATCTGCATGAACTAATTTGTCTGTCCTACTGGGGAGCTGACGAAAGAAGGGGAAGGCTTTTCAGTCTTCTCTGCCCCCCCCAACGAGTGCTACAGAGCCAATCAGAATCAAGGGGCGGAGCTTTGTGACCGTTCTCCACTCCCAGATTCCTAGCATCAACCAGGTGATCACTGAGTATAGCCAGATGGTGAGGCTGCTGGATCATTCTGGACCTACATTACCTACTCATCAAAGCAAGCATGCATTAGCTATTGTGGAGTCTGAGGGGATGCAGGAAGTTAATATACCCTCCAGGACATTCTCGTTACTCTGGAGCTGCCATCTTCCTGTAAAGACCATGCAGGCGTAGCACAGTTCAGCATCCTGCCCCCCCCTGCTTTTTCACCTCTGCTACGACTCTAGTTGTGTCACATGACAACAACCCATTTCGAGCGTGGGACAGCCATCTTGCGGTGGCTCTTGGTCTCCCTCTAGAGGCTGATCCAAGTAGCAACCTTAGCGTCTCCAACATCCTCCAAAGCCACAGGTCAGAAGTTCAAGCCTCCCGAGTGGCCAAAAGGCACAGAGAGGGATGTGCTGGAGGAAATCGATCACCCCACAGGGCCTCCAACTTTTGTGGCCTCTCTCTGGTAGGCGTGCCAAGAAAGGCTTTCCATTTGCTTTCCTCAGATTTCTTTACAAAAAGCAGCAGCAGCAGCAGCAGTGTTGGGTCACATTTAATTTTTGGTTGTCCAGAAAACACGAAGGTCAAGAACAGCTGAAGCCAAAAAGGTTTGGGGCTGGCTCAGATACCTTTGAGGATTCCTGTGCAGTTCAAGTGCATGCATTTCACTCTCCTTTTGCAGTTTCTGAACCAGAGACACACAGCCCCTCTCTGTGAGTCCCAGGGAGATACAGTGGGGGGGGGGGGCGCCAAGACGCCAGGCTCACTTGCACCAAGCCTTCATGAAATTGAGTGCCCCGGGGTCTTCCCCGCCCCCTTTTCTCCTCTTCCAGGCAGCCATCTTGCTTGTGCAGTCCGGGGACACGTGGAGGCACCAGCAAAGTGCACCAAAATGGCCCCCCAGCTCTCCTGCTAAGTGGTCTCCTCGTCCCACAGGCAAAGCTGCTTCTGTGGCACGTAGTAGTCAAAGCTGTAGCCCTTTTGGCAGCTGCGGATGCCACACTTGTACGAGGAGACCTTCCCGGTGGCGTCACGGTTCTTGCAGTACTTGAGCATGCAGGGATACCACTCGATGCTCAGCGAGTAGCTGCAGATGCAGGACTTCCAGCGGTCTGAGCAGACCCGGCAGCGCTGCAAGTCAGGCAGGTCGGCAGACTGGGGCAGGACCTCGAACATGGAGCCGTCCACTCCTGTGTGAAGGAAAAGGCAAAAGGGGAGAGAAAGTCATAAGAACATAAGGACATAAGAGACGCCAATGTTGGATCAGGCCAAAGGCCCATCCAACCCAACACTCTGTGTCACACAGTGGCCAGAAATACCAGGTGCCATCAGGAGGTCCACCAGTGGGGCCAGGACATTAGAAGCCCTCCCACTGTTGACCCCCCCCCCAGCACCAAGAAGACAGAGCATCACTTGCCTCAGAGCCCCTATCTATACCTTGTGGCTAATAGCCACTGATGGACCTCTGCCCCATCATTACCATCTTCTTTCTCCAGGTAATGCCACCACCCTCAGCTCCTTGTTCTCATACAGCTCCACCCCTTAGGAGCCGATCTGGCTTCTGGTGCTCTGCTCTGTTAGCTACGGCAAGAGGCCTCCTACCAGCTGCTGCCCTTGATGCTATGAGCGGTGGCAGATGACATTTTTTAGAAACCACCTGCATCCTCTGTGCTGCTATGTCACTTCCTGGTACAACCTGGAAGTGCCAATGGGAAGCTCTAGGAATTGCTGGGGATGCTATGGTTTCACTTACGAGTTTCCAGTGCTTCCTAGAGCTACCCACAGTCACTTCCAGGTTGTACCTGGAAGTGACCCACTGATGTTGGTGACATTGCTTCCATGTCCCTGCCCCTAACCCTCCCACTGGGCAACTCTACTGTTGGCAGAAGTGACGTTGGAAGGGACATGCAGGGCAGGACCTTTTCAGCTGTGGCCCCTGACTGCAGAACTCCCTGCTCCGTTAGCCCATACTTGACTGTCCGGGAATTTGTCAAGAGTTAAATTCTGGATATCATTTTACTGTTTCTCTCTCTGATGGCACTTTAAGCTGTGCTGTCGGCTTCATTTATGGAATCCTACTGCTGATAGCTTTAATTGGCTTCTTTCCATCAGTCTCCCCTCCCCCCCCCGAAAATATTTACTATTAAGTATTGAGACTAGGCGGCTCTTTTCATAACAACATACTTCTTTATTGAACTTCTGAACCAAAGACACAGGCTCAACAGGAGCCAATTTATACTTGTAAAAACCACACCCACCTTAAAGAACAACCAATCCCAAGCAGGCAGCCAGAACCCTTCATTTGCATGAACTACAAGCAATGTCGCTAATGACAGTGCAGCTGTTGGGTTATCGTCCGAAATAATGATTGGCCGTTACCAGTAACGACCAATAGTCTTGGAGCCCTGCTCAGACTCAAGCTCCACCCGTACATAACATTTACTGCTGGCTATTGCGGCTATATTAAGCATGTTAGGCTGCAACTGGCTAGTCTCTTAGATTATTGATGCTACAGTATTTCCCCCTAGAAAAGCAAGTTTAAACCCTCTGAATCAAGAGAGGAACGATCTTTCCGGGCGATCCCCTCCGCAGTGGCCCCTCTGGCTCTCTCTCTCCCGATCCCTCACCAGGCTCCTTAAGCCTCCACCTCCAACCAAAACGAAATCAAGTTTATCTCCTCCTGGTTCTCCTTTTCCTTGCCTTCCGTTGCCATAACCCTTCACTTTCCATTTTGTTGGCTTCTCTCCCGACCTCCTGCCGTCTTTGAGCATGGTATATGGACGCCACCTCCCCGAGGGCGGGAATCCCTGCCTCCAATTCCCCTGGAGAAAATTTTTTAAAAATGGTTGTCAAGCTGATGGTGTGATGTCACTTCCGGGGAAGAAAAAGAGGAAGTGATGTCATACCTCTGTAGTAAAACCACAGCGCATTTGGTGACTCCTAGAGAGGACTGATGTCACTTCTTGGGGGAAAAACCATAGAGTTTTCAGTGATTTCCAGAGATAATGTAGGGAA